CCGGCCGCCCCGCCGCTTCCCAACCCTGGCAGCCTGCGGACTTCAGGGTGTTTCAGGGGCATCTGGACTCCCGTGTGAATTTACTGCGAATAAATTTGATTTTTCTGGTCGCATCGTCGTGGGTGTTTTCGTAGCAGACCCTTCCAGAAGCGATCCCGGGGACACAGGTTGCCCTTCCGCTGTCACGACTGGAAAACACGACGGCAGAGTGTGCAACACTGCTGGTGTCCTTGGAGTCCGTGCCTCTCTCCAGCATGGGAAGCTCCTTCAAGGACAGGGCAGCTTGTGTCCGTTTTTAAGAAGTTGCTCATAACTTGGACTTAGGTGGACGCAGTGATTCTTCACCGGGTTTTATGAGCCTGCAATTGCTGGGGAGGCTCAGGTGCCCCTGCCTGGGCACAGCACGTGCGGTGGGACCTGACTCTGCAAGGCGGGGTTCGCGGTACCAGACCTGGGTGAGAGTTTGATCTTTTCACGTATTTTTTTCACGGCTGTAGTGGAGCTCTTCAGCAGGGTGGGCTGACAGCGACTTGCAGTGTCACTTCTGGAATCTGACAAACTGGAAACCATGCTTGGTTTTTTTTAATAATTTTAAGCAAAAATGATGTGGCAATGTGTATTTATCATATTTAATATAATATGTACTATAAATGGCATATAACACATAAATAAATGCCCTATGTACATTTATGTAATCATATAAATAAATCTGTATAAACTCATAGCATCCGTGTTGCTAGTGCTTTACATTATCACTGGTCATAAAAGAATCTTACTGTAAATGAAAACTGTCATGAATAAACTGTAAACAATTTGTGCTCTGACTTCTCTAGATAGGTTTTTGTTTGAGAGTGACTTTCCAGCAGCCTTGCAATATTATTTAACTCCCAACCTGGCATTCTGCTACCACCTTCACTCAGCTCCATTTATCCTTTATCCACAGTGACCTTTTTAACAACTTCACCTGTGTAACAGCAGGTTTGTGAACAAGGCTTTGTAACACTTCTCCTTGGAGAGACGCATCCAGCCACGGAACTCATTTCGGGAAGGAGAGTCACACTTTCCTTCCACATGTGACTTGACCGTGTCACTCTGACAGATAGCCTTAAACCTGAAGGCTTTAAAATATTACTCTGCCAAAATAAAATGAATTATGAGATACTTCATGTGTTGTCCCTACAGTGCCATAACAATACCCATTTTTTACTGCAGCATTCTTCAGGCAGATGGTTTCCCCTGTCAGGTTCCTTGTGCAACTGCATAACCACCTGCAACAAGGCGGCAGAGGAGACGGCAAGGGGGCAGGACAGGGTGGCGAGGAACCCGGACTGCCAAACAGATCTAAACACTGAACGCCAAACCACAGCCTTCAGGAGAGCTCCGGCTCCGTCTTTGCTTGCGCTCAGCGATAATGCTGCCTGAATCACCAGCAGTGCCCATCTCTTCAGCCTCTTGTCCCCGCCCTTCTGCCATCTCCTCCATTACACAACCACAATATGTTTGTGGGGCTATGAGATGAACTGCATCAGAAAACTGACTTTTTGGAAAAGAAGAAGTCAAAAAAGATTATTTCCCAGTTGGATCAGGACTAGTTTCCTGATGAGATAAATGCTGTGGCCTACTACACACTTGTGCCTGACCGAGAGAGGGGGTGATGCAGGGGCAGTAATAAGAAATCAGCAGTTGTTTAAATTGGCACTTCTGCCAAAAAAACGCCTGCTGGGTGGTAGCCATGGAGACAGGGAGGGGTACATCGATTCTGTTCCCTGCGAGACGTGTCGCTCCTCTGTCAGAGGGCTCCTGTCCTCACTGCTGGAACAGCTCAGTTGCTTGTGAAGCACCTGCCGAAATTCTTGCACGTTGCAGCTCAACATATTCAGAATAAATAAAATCTATGCCAGTTTACTTCTGGTGCCAGTAGCCTCAGGGGAAACACAGGAAGCCAAAAATTATAATTAAGGAGAGCATGTGGGGGTTAACATGTTTGTTATGAAAGCTGCTGTGCCTTCTTGGTATTTGTGGTTCAAACATTAAAAGGGCAAACATGGTTATTTTTTTACCCTAATGATTTTCATTGTGCTGGTAATGTGTTGCTCATGTATGTGTTTGACAATGAACGGTATCTATCCCTGGTGGAAGAAGTGGGACTGCCCTTTTGTCCTGCTCCATGCACAGATTTTTCAAACACTTTTGAATGAAGAAACACTTTACTTAAAACCTTCATCATGATGGTGAATGACAGGGTCTTTGTTTTAAAAATCTTTCAGTTGAAGACAGATGTAAAGAGAGAGCTGAGGCTGGAAACAGAATGGAAAGTGAAGAGAAAGAAGAGCAAAGAAAAATTGATTTTGGTTGAACATTTCTGTGAAACCCTTGGGGTGTTCTATTTTAATTCCAGCTCTTGCATTTATCCATTAGCATTTAGTTTCGGACTTCAAGTATGTTTTGAATACATATGCTGCAATCACTGGCAAAACTCAATTAAAAAAGCTTAAAAACAAAAATTATTTTCTTAATATTATTGCAACGCCAAAAGGGTTGAAAGTGTAGAATTACATATGTCTGCTTAGGTTTATTTGTCTCGCTTTTTAAGCTTTTATTTTATACATATCACAGTTACCTAGAAAGAGATCAGGTTTTGCTTGGTAACAATAACATCAGCCAGTGGTACCTGTCTCTCCAAATCTGCTGTAGGCAGAGCTACAGGAATGTTCTCAAAAATGACTGACCACTGAAAAAAACGAGACCAAAATGACCCGCAGTCAGGATAAAATTATCTTTCTTTGTATACAACATCAGAACCAGTCTTAGCAAGTCTTCAAAGTCTGACAAGAGATTTTTTTTTTCTGGATGTGACACGTCCTACAATAAAGTCATAAACTGAGAAGCCTTCACAGATATGAACTGTAGACACAATGACAGAGAAAGTAAAACTAAATAAAATGTAAATTGAAACCCTAGAAGGCATAATCATTCTCTCGTCTGCACAAATAGTACAGGTCACTCATGTTCTGATATGTCTCAATCAGACTTCAAGAATCTGCCTTTATTTGGATCATGTCAGACTGTTTGTCCTCACCAGACTAACCTCATACGTGCCACTAGCATGATCAGTTTGACCCTGAATGTGTGTGCAATTCACATCAGCCAGAAACCTAAGAGGAATTCTCTGCTTGTCGTGAAAGTACTGGTCTACTCCTCTCCTTTCCTAACTTAGGCTACCGATGTTTCAGTGAAAACCAACACTTGCCTACTAATAAAACAGAAGAGAACAAATTGGCTAATTGCATTTGACGGGCAATTCCTTCATGACCCTACAGGCAACTGATTTAAAGAAGTAAGTGTGCTATTTAAGATTGCCCTTTTCCATGTTGCAGAGCAACTGGTAGTGTTATTACTAATATTGAGAGCAGTGAAAGTCCTTGCTACCCTGTGGACAGAAGAATAATTGGGATGGAGAGGATGGGAAGAATCAGGAGGGTTTATATCATTCACAAATGTACAGTTATCAAAGCAGGAAGAGACACTGGAGTTACCTAGACTGACATTCCTGCAAGCATATATTTTTTCCCAGACTCTAACCCCACATTTAATGTACTAAACCCTGCAGAGGTTGTGAAGGTTGAGGTGCATGCAAGAGACAGCCATAGCCCTGGGAGAACAGCCCTTTCCTCTCATCTAGTGACTGATCCCTGTTTACATATGGAGCTCGCACCACACTTACTCAGCAAAATGCTAACATGCCTCCGCAGCATTCCCACAGCAAGCAGAAAAGCCCAGTACCACAAAAAGACATGACACAGTATAGACGTTCCAGCTGTTCCTGACAGTTACTACTCTGCTCCCCCCTGCAGACAAATATTTCGCTCTCTTTCCGTTTACAAGGACAAATTCAGCAAAGTCACAGGGGATAATTGAACCCCTTCTCCTCCTTTCAGTAGCCTGTCCTCACCACACAAATTAGGTCCAACAGAGGAAAGCCCACAGATCATCAGAGCAACATCATTTGTTGTTGTTTAAACAATTAACTACAAAAATTGGAGCCTGACCACTGGCACAGGACAATGCCAACCCTGTCTGCGCTACACTGATGAATATATTCCGCCTGAACTGGGCTGCGGACTCGGTCACCCACAAGGTCTCAGTGGCAGCAGGACCCAACGGTCAAATACCTGCTTTGGAAGCAGGAGCCATTGTGAAAATAAAAAAAGAAAACAGACAGTTGAACGTTGCTGTGGTTTTGCTCCAGGAAGTATATGAATTATGTAAGCTGCATGTGGGTATGGCCTTTATTGTTATGGACAAGGCAGATTCTAATTTTACCAAAAGCTCTCATGACACATAGGGAGAACGCTGTCAATCCATTCCAGAAAACAGACCAACGCCCTCTGGCACTAATCTCCTCTGGGAAACAGCAGCAGACATTCAGCATCTCATAGGAAAGCCTCCCGTTCAGGAAAGAAACTGGTGGAAGAGCTGGCGTTCTGCTGAATAGTGTATTTATTTGCAAATGCACTACTGCCTTTTTCTGAAGTGGGGGTGGTAACAAACAGAGCCCCACTTTGGTACAAACCACTGGCCTGGCACTTTTGCCAGAAGATAGGTTTATCTCTTCTCTGTCATCCATAGAAGCACACATCAAAAACTGCACTTTTGCTACTTCTCAGCTTCTGCTCGTGGATTAGTAAACAATCTTCT